GGCTGGGGGTGGTGAGTCTGGGGGTGCCCGCTCTCCTCGTCTGGCTACCCCCCCCGGGTTCCCACCTCTGCCGTCTTCGCCGCCTCTGCAGCCTACTGCTGTGGACAGTGAAGCAGAGACTGAGGGTGCTGGGACTGAGGGTGCTGAGCCTGAGGGTACTGGGTCTGAGGGTACTGAGACTTTGGGTGCTGACTCTGGGGGTGCTGAGACTTCGGGTGCTGACTCTGGGGGTGCTGCGAGTCCTTCTGGAGGTCCTGGAGCTGGAGGTACTGGAGCTACTAGGCCTGGAGGTCCTACTGGAGGTACTAGAGGTACTACTGGTGCTGAAGGTACTAAAGTTGCTGCTGGTGCTGGAGGTGCTGGAGCTGGAGGTACTAGAGGTGCTTCTGGTGCTGGAGGTGCTAGAGCTACCACTACTGGAGGTACTGGAGCTGGACAGCCACCGCAGCCTGCTCTACTTGAGACGCTCTCGCCGCAGGCGATTCGTGCGTGGGTCGTTCTGCGAGGCAGTCCTGGTGGTGGAGGGTACGGTCTTGCTGGTGCTGGAGCTACTAGTCCAGGAGGTGCTGCTGGTGCTGGAGGTGCTGGAGGTACTACTGGAGGTACTAGAGGTGCTGCTGGTGCAGGAGGTACTGGAGCTGCTGGTGCTGGGGGTACTGGAGCTGCTGCCGGTGCTGGAGGTACTGGAGCTGGTGGCACTGGAGGTGCTGGTGCTCCTGGTGCTGGAGCTGCGGGAGCTGCTGACCCTGGAGGTGCTGGTACTGCTGGTGCTGGAGGCGTTGGAGCTGGAGGTACTGGAGGTGCTGGAGCTACTGGTCCCGGAGGTGCTCGTACTGGAGGTGCTGGAGCTGCCGGAGCAGGTGGTACTGCTGGTGCTGGAGGTGCAGGAGGTGCTACTGGAGCTGCTGGCACAGGAGGTACTGGAGGTACTACTCGTGCTGGAGGCCCTGGAGCTAGAGCTGGAGGCACTGGAGGTGCTGGAGGTACTACTGGTGCTCGAGGTGCTGGCGCTGTCGGAGCTCGTGGTGCTGGAGGTGCTGGTGCTACTGGTGCTGGAGGTGTTGCTGGGGGTACTAGAGGAGCTGCTCGTGCTGGAGGTACGGGAGCTACTGGTGCTCTTCGCCACCTTCTCAGTCTTCCGCCAGGTGCTACTCACTTCCCTGTGGCAGGTACTACTCCTCCGTTGCTGTGTCCGCCAGCGGACCAGTCACAGCCACCGCTGCTACCACACTCCCCACTGCCTGCTCCTGCTCCTTACACTGCGGTGTCAGAGTCCCTAACTGAGCGTCGAGAGCCTAAGACTCGTGCTTCCACCCCTGAGCATCAAGAGCCTGAGTCTAGCTTTGACCTTGAGCCTGAGCCTAGAGCTGCTGTCCGTGCTCGTGTTCCTCGTGTTCGTCGTTCGCGTGCTCCGGCTGTCCCCGGCACTCACGATATGACACTCCGTCCTTCCTCTGTTCCTCAGCGTGTTGTACTACCGTTACCTCCTGCGTCCTCTCTGCCTGACGTTGCTGACCCTCCGTCTGACCTTGCTCGTGCGTCCAGTCCGACTGTTACTCGCCTTCTTGCTACGGTTGTGACGGACCCTACGTTCTCGTCTCCTGCTGCGTCTGCCCTAGTAGCTGAGCTTGTTGACTTTGCTGCTGTGTACCGCCTAGACTACCTTGCGAGTCTTGTCTCTGACCCTCTCCCTGCCTGTCCTCCGTCCGTCGGGGGTGAGACTGCTCTTGGCTGTACTGCCCTTGGCTGTGACGTTCTTGAGGATAGACAGGAGGAGCTGGAGTGCCTTGCTGCCGCTTCACCCCATCACGCGACCATGCTGCTTGCCCCTGAGGGAGACCCGGATGCACTTGACATCCCCACCCCGCGCTCCTACTGGGAGGCGATTTCGGGTGAGTACTCCTCTCAGTGGCAGACAGCCATGGACGCAGAGATGGCTTCCTGGAAGTCCACAGGCACCTACGCCGACGAGGTTCCCCCACCTGGGGCGAACATCGTCAGTGGCATGTGGATTTTCAGGGTGAAGCGGCCGCCGGGTTCTCCGCCTGCCTTCAAGGCACGTTACGTTGCTCGAGGCTTCAGTTAGCGTGAGGGGGTCGACTTCTTTCAGACCTTCTCCCCCACCCCGAAGATGACCACTCTTCGGGTGTTGCTACACGTTGCAGCTCAGCGTGACTACGAACTGCACTCCCTCGACTTCTCGACAGCTTTCTTGCAGGGTATCCTTCACGAGGCCATCTGGTTGCGCCGTCCACAGGGCTTCACTGGGTCGTTTCCTGAGGGTACCCAGTGGAGCCTACAGCGACCAGTGTACAGCCTGCGTCAGGCGCCCCGTGAGTGGCACGACACACTGAGGACGACACTTGCGGCTCTTGGGTTTGCTCCTTCGACTACTGACCCGTCGCTGTTTCTACGCACCGACACTACTCTGCCGCCGTTCTACATCCTCGTGTACGTCGACGACTTGGTTTTTGCTACTGCTGACACTGAGGCACTAGCCCTAGTGAAGGCAGAGCTGCAGGAGAGACACACCTGCCCTGACCTGGGTGAGCTGCGGAGCTATCTTGGCTTGCAGATCACCCGGGACAGACCACGGCGCACCATCACCCTCACTCAGTCACACATGGTGCACCAGGTCCTTCAGCGCTTCCGCTTCACTTGGTCCTCGCCACAGCCCACTCCTCTGTCTACCGGCCACTCGCTCTCAGCTCCACCTTCGGACGAGTCCGTAGAGCCGAGTGGTCCGTACCCAGAGCTTGTGGGTTCCCTTATGTACCTGATGACGTGCACACGACCTGACCTCGCGTACCCTCTCAGCCTCCTGGCTCGCTACGTGGCACCTGGTCGACACCGAAAGGTGCACTTTGATGCTGCGAAGAGGGTACTGCGTTACTTGTGCAGCACATCGGGCATGGGGCTCGTGCTTGGAGGACGGGGTTCGGTGGTCCTCACAGGACACTCTGACGCTTCTTGGGCCGACGACCAGACGACTCAGCGGTCGTCACAGGGTTACACCTTCAGTCTTGGCTCTGGTTCTGTCTCGTGGAGGTCCACTCGTTCTTCTTCTTTGCTTGGTTCCAGCTGCGAGGCCGAGATCTACGCTGGGGCCATGGCTGCACAGGAGCTACGCTGGCTGACCTACCTGCTGACCGACTTGGGGGAGCGGCCTCGTTCTCCACCAGTTCAGTACGTCGACAACAAGGCCATGACTGCCTTGTGTCGGTAGCAGAGACTGGAGCACAGAACGAAGCACATTGCTCTTCGTTTTTTCTTGCTCGCGAGTTGCAGCAGCGTGGTCAGGTTCGCCTTGCTTACGTGGCCTCTCGGGCCAACGCTGCTGATGTCTTCACCAAGGCCCTTGGGGCTGGTGATCATCACCGTTTTTGCACTGCTTTTGGGCTTGTGCCCACTCTGCCTCACCTGTTGGTTGCTTGACTTGCTCTTGTTGTACATTGCTATATATCTTTATACCTGCATGTTTTCTCTTGCTAGGTTGTGATCAGTGTACTGCCTTGCTATTATATACCTCTGCATGTGAACTGGCCTTGTGGCCACTTGCTTGTGCTCAGAATGCGTGGTGACTTTGTGATCCACCCTGATCTGTGTTCTCTTCTGCAGACTGGTCTTGTGACCACTTGTTGTGTTTGCTGTCCTCTACTTTGCCTATGGGGGTGTGTCAGATTACAATTGTATCTCTAGGCTACAGTAGGGTCACTCCTTAGTGAGTACAACACTTTAGGGTTAGGTTTCCCCTACTTGTACTCACCTCTTGCATAGTTCAATCATCATTCCTAGTTCTATTCTTGACAGAATGGGCAGGCCTAAACGTAGCTCCGCTGCTATGAGCCAGTCTGGTGCGTCAAGCTATGAGCGCGGTGTGGAGGGCACAGCAGTAAGCCAAGCGCCGGCTGGTGGGTCCTGAAGGGAGGTCAAACGGACCAACTGGTGGCGCTGGTTTGCCGCTGCCCGTAGCTGTTCCGCTGCTCGTGCTGAGATACGCTGTGCTAGAGCTGAGAAAAGGCGATTGGGGTAGCGCGCAAAGAAGGCAGACCACGGTGGAACAAGGTGCCGCAAACAGGGCTAACTTTAATGCCAGAGCCTGTCTGACAGTAGGACCGGGTCCTGAGTCCTTGTCTGATGGTCAGACGAAAGTTGAAGCCTAGTCTTACGTTTCAGACGAATAAAAAGCACTTGTCAGAGCCTTCAGACGGAATTAGATAGTTAGTCTTATTGCAAGCTGATTTCCTAGCCTACGTAGTTTCTATACTAAAGGTTATGTAACGACATCCTTTCCTAAGAAGAATCAAGCACTACTGCTGTCACTGTCATCACTACCACTGCCACTGTCACCACTACCACTGCCACTCTCAGAGGTTTCAACAACTGTGGCTCTGGATTTGCCCTTCCTCCAGGTAGGCAGCTCCCACGCAGCTTCTTCTGCAGCCCTCTCTCTCTCCTTTGATGCAGCCTCTTCTGCCTCTTTCCGTGCGCGTGTAGCTGCTTCTGCTGCTGCTGATGCTGCAGCGCGCTTCTTCAGGTGATGGGACCGCGATCGCTTCACCGGGCGTGATCCTTCAGCCATGACCACCTCTCGAGCCGACCGCCTCTTCTTGCTGGCATACCACCTATCCACAAGCTCCTCTGTGTTCAGCTCGTAATCCAAAAGGGACACCGTCATCAGGTCGCCCAGTGTCGTGTCGCACAAGCTGCCCCGCACCCAGCTTTTGATGATGTTCTGGCGGCTGAAGCCGCGCTCACACTCAACAGTGCTGAGTGGTAGCACAGCAACAGCTATCCACAGGCGGCCGAGGTTCGGATAGGCTGACTCCCATTCCGGCGTTGAGAGCATCTGCGACAAGCTGTCGTGGAAGGACAGGTCTTCGTGGTGATGGGAGAGGATTGTCGTGAAGCTGGTGAGCTCCTTGGCGGCTTTGCCCCAGTCAACACCTGATGGTGAGGGGTAGGGTAGGGTGTGGGACATCGGATATCATTGCAGAGAGTCAATTCTTGGCACGGCAGCAATAACGCAACAAGTAAAAACGCAGGTTTGAAACAAACCGCTTACCGGGGAGGGTGTCTGGATGGTTGGGCTTCTTCTTGAACAGGTTGCGCAGCGACTCGAGCCATTCGGGAAAACGACGCGCTCTTTTAGCGCGCGAACGAGGGTACCGTCCCTGCCGAAACAGACGGGCCCCGTCCAACGACTTGAGACTCTTCATGCGATCCTCAATGAAGAACACAGTCCTCCCAGCGAACTTAGATGCTGCCTCCACGCACGACGCCAGGTCGCCCCCAAACTTCTCCTTCCCGATCAGGTCCTCGTGCAGCAAGTAGGTGTGAGTCACGGGTTCTCCTGCGGTGTCGATGCTTTCGACCTTCACTTCGCATTGCTCAGTGCTCCCGTGGTTCTTCAGGAACGTCGCAAGACGACCACTGTTGTCGCCGAAGGTGGAGCCGTACTCCACATAGCGACTTGTCAAGATCAACGTGGTGTGCTGCACCATCGGCCGAACCTGCGTCGCATCAAGCTGCACATATTAAAGAGAAACAGAATTAGTCTCGGCTCACGGAAAGAAAGAATGCAAGGTGTAACTACACGTCCTTACCTGTCGTCGCTGGAACTTGAGATTCAGGCTGTTCAGCTCCTGAAGCACGTCAACCAGAAAGAAGAGGAAAAACTGAAACTTGAGACTGGTAACAAGAGTGTACGTTGTCTTGTCGTACTCATGCAGCAGGACAACGGCAGCAGGCAGGACGTCTGCAAAGCGCTGGATGGCGTCTCCGCGCGACAGCCAGCGGACGTCCTTAATGCCTTGCATCTCCAGGTTGGTCTCTGTGATGACCTCCTGCAGCTTCTTGAATCGCGCATGCTGCACTATGCTGCGGCCGAGAATGTCAGCGAAAGACCGGACGACTTTGTCGACGACATTGAACTCGGGAAATTCTTCAGCCGCATCCTTAGCAGCCAGAGCCTCCCTGCAGTTATAACACGAGTAGGATTAGTCGGAGGACAGCAAGTGTCAGATACATCACAACAGTAAAAACAACACACTACCTGTGGGCCACGCAGTGGCACGGCACAATATGCGGCACCCGCGTTCGTAATCGCGCCACCAAGCCTGTCTGACCGCCCGTCATCACGCTCGCGCCGTCCGTGGTCATGCCGCTGATCCTTGTCAGTTCGAGGCCGCAAGCAGCAAGGTGTGTCAACAGGACCGCCTCAAGCGACCCGGCGTCGCACTTCTCAACGGACAAGTTCGCGAAGAACTCGGTAACCACCACCGTGCCACGGAGAAACGTGGCATACACAATCATGTGTTTGCCACGCCTTCGGTCGGTGCTTTCATCAAGTTGGAGGCCAACGAAGGGACTGATGCTGATGTGCTGCATCTGCTTCGCCTTCAAGTAGCACACCAGCGTTTCGACCAACTGCTTGAAACCATACCTGCGTCAACGAGGACACAAAAGAAATGGTAAGTAAGGGGTATTCAGAAACCACAATGATGTGAACATATAAACTCACGTTGAACAATAAGTCCCTTGGTCCTTGGCCGGCATATCTGGCGTCCCCATTTCTGCCATGAACTGCACGAGTGTCATGAACATGACAATGGGGGTGTCGGATTTGCAAAGGAAACACACGGTGAGAAACAGCTGTATCAAACGCCGAGTTTCTGCACTCTTATCTCCAAAGTTGGAGATAGATGCCCGCCTCTTCTGCGGGGCTTCACGCTGCTCCAATCGGTCCTTCGCCTCCCGGTGCCGGATGCTCCACTGATGCTTCCTCATCGTCTGCTTCTGTATGTCGATGCCTCCCTCGCCCCGAGCGTCGTACTGTGACTCAGGATCTGCGTACACCATGCAGATCTTGCACCTCATGCAAGGTCGACCTTCGGCGGTGTCACCGATGATGAGCCAAGGGAAGTGGCGGCTCCACTGCTGCTTGGCTTTTAGCTGCAGCTCCTCTAGCGACAGAATCTTCGGTCCGGCATTCTCGGACCCGCGGCGCTCCCCTCCATCTTCCTTAGTTGTGGGATTCCCTGCAGAGGAAGGGCTTGGGCGTTTCGAAAATGGAAGCTTATTTTGCACAAATTTGGTCTTGCCAGTAAACCGCGGCGGGAGAAACGGAGAGCGGGATTGGAATGGATTTTTTCTAGCAGGAACAGATGATGCGACAGGTTGACCGGATGGCGAACCCCCATGGTGGCTTGATGTGGTTGGTGATCGCACGGGTGAAAATGGTATGAGCGGCTCGGCATCCATCTCAGCGAAAGGGTACGGCTGCTCGGCAGAATCGAGTTTCTCATTCTGACAGGCCGAAGGAGCAACAGCAGCAGCTGGGACTGGAGTAGGGGTGAAACCCCCCCCCCGTAAGGAAATCCAAGCCAGTGCGTGGGCGGGGCAACGCACTGGAAGGAGGTGAAGCATGCAGAGTGGATGCTGGAGGGGCCTCTGTGCGGGGGTCTACTGCCATCTCGGTGGAACTATGCACCGACTGGCTCTAGCTCACGAGGGTAAGATGAAAGTCACCTAATGCTGTGGGGAGTGAGGGGGGACCGTCCGAACCGAGCCGCATGCATGAACGTCCTCTTCTCTGCTGGAAGCAGCCACGCCATCCATCCCTCGCTGACCCGACCAGGGCTGATTTTATCAGACTATTTTAGTCTGATTGTCTGAAATCTCAGACTCTTTTTTTCGCCTTTCCTGAAATTTCAGTATTCCTGTATTCTGAACTCTGAAGGCCTCTGACCTGTTAGTTTTTCAACTCTGAAATTTTCAGAGTACTTCATTGTGCGATACTGAGACTCGAGACTACAGGGAGTATGGCCCCTGAATTTGCCGAATTTCAGTCCTCCCCCCTCCCCCTCTCTCGAATTACATTCAATTCCCCCACTGCCCCCCTCCCCCCTCCCCCTTCCCCCGCCCCCTCTTACTCCTGCTTCTCGCCAACTCCGCAACGTTTTCCCTAGGCCAAACTCGCTTGACAGATATTCGCTATTCACCAACTCGGATGCAGTTTTACTAACTTAAAACTTTTCAGACTAATGATTTTTTCAAACCTGACATTTCAGAGTACTCAGAACTTGGGAAATGACCCTCAGACTAAACGAAATCTTTTTCTCCCCTGCCTCAGAGTGGGTTTTTTTGAAACGTCAGCCCTGGACCCGACGCGCAGTGAGGGTTGTCGGTGTTGCAAATGCAGCCTTCTGCCGTGCGCTGGCACGAATATGCCAAACGAACTGGCAAGATTCGTGCCAGCGGGGTGACTGCGGCGCAGTGACGTGCGGTGGACCGGTGGTGTTGTCACCGACCTCGGCAATGTACAGCCTGCCGGTGGCATCAAGGTAACGCGGCGGGTGGCTAGTCTCGTCCGTAACTGGCCAGGTGGGCAACTGGCCAGGTGGGGGCATTTGTCTGTTTCAGACGAAAAAAAACTCGATGTCTGCAGTCTCAGACGAATCGTATAAGGCTGTCTGACAAATCAGACGAATAAAAAAAGTTTCTCTTAAAAATCAGATGACATAAAATAGCTTGTCTACGGCATCAGACGAACCAGTAAAAAGGTGTTCAAATTCCAGAAATTCAGACACATAATTTCTGATAAAGTAAGCCCTGGCCGCAAATCTGCCGGAAGGGAAGCGAGAGCGCGGGGTGCCTGCGAGTCTAGGTGTTCTAGGCTGTCGGATGCAATGAATGGGCGTAGGAAATTGTCTCTGCGACCTTGCAGTTCGATGCAAGCACCGGTATGGCTTGTGCCCAGCAGATTGATCTTCGGAAGTATGAAGCCCCGGGACTCTCAGAACTTCAGTAGAAACACTTCATCAGGGTTCTGAAAATTGTGACACTGTGGCCTAAGGGTAAATTTCTTGAAACTATGGAAAACCCTGATGAAAAATACTTTTCCCAGGGGGTCACACTGATAATCAGGGTTTTGCAAAGGTGCAGGACTGATGATAGATGTCAGACAGAATGTGGTGATCAGATGCCCTTGGTGCCTAACTAGTGCAAAGCAGTACTAGCATTCTTGCCCCGCACTGGCAGGCCCGATCCGTGAAGCAATAGTGTGTTGTGTAAGTAGAGCTGCTTCTTGAACCTTGATATTCTGAGCTGATGGACCTGATATCTTTAAATGCAAGGCAGAACGAACTTTATAACTCCTGGTGTGACTGTTTCAGTCACAGATGGACTGCCTCACTAAACTTGAGATGTGTATTGGTGGGCCAAGAAGGAAACAATGGGCATTGCACGATGTCCCACACAGCATCTAAGGGACACTGCGCTCACTGTGAGTCACCGATGGAGACCAACTCCACTTCGAATTCAATTATTTGCTCAGCCAGAGGATGGTTTGCATCAATCACAACGAAGTCCTTGCCAACCTGCAATAAAGAATAAAGCAACTCATTGTCATACGGTACTCACAAAAACTCTGTCAATTTGGTCTGTGGAAAATGATAACTATGGGCTGGTGGAAGAAAGAACTCACCTCTAGAATCTCAGCAGGGCCGCCGTTCGCAAGCATAACGACAGCTCCCGCTTTGAGCTCTCCTCCTTGCTCTTTCGTGAGTCTCTGAATCTCCTCATGGTCCTTGGGTACTCGGAAGATCATTTCATCTGTCTTCGCCATTGGTGCTGACTGTACAGTGCGGCTTTGGCCAACAGCCAATCCTTTCACTGCCTCGTCAAAACCCTGTTATCACGCAAACAAAGAATAACCTGAGTATCCTCCGAATGTGACTGCCTACATGCTGGACCTTAGAAGATGGTTCACTCATTGTCACCTTGAAGAGAGGATTGCCAACGAAGTTCCCAGCACCGACTTCAAAGGTCAAAACGTCATCATCACCAGATGCATGAAGCACCTGCGTTTGTTACACAGCCATGGTGAGGCTCTGGTGAAAGTGTTGGAAATAACATACTGCGATAAGGGAAATTGGAACGAGCTTGAGCACGAACCTCACCATCCAGTGTCTTGCACACGAATTTCACATTCACCATGTCTCCCTCCCGTGCTACCGTTTCGCCTGGCACAGATGTTATGCGCGGGGCAAACGGGAATGCCAAACCGCAGCTTATAAACAACCAGTCAGAGAGGCCAATTCTTCACTCTCCAGTTTTCGACTGCACATCATCTTAAGTGTATCATTTGAACCCCGAATTGAACAGATTTTCACTCTAGCTTGTAAAGCTGCGTACTTTGGATACAGGCGTTCGGTCATAGTTTGGATTCGGGCATTTGGTTGGGTTCTACTCACTGCCGTCGCAAAAAGATGCCCTCGCGCCAGTGCTCCTCCTCAACATTGTTCTGACAGCTCGAGGCTGAGCCTGAAGTGGTGCTGTCCATGCAGCATGCCTGCTAACGCAACAGCTGGACTGAATGCTTCGCAAGCTTATCCTAGAAGAAGCAACTAACACCATAGAAGCTTGGCATTGCAAGGTTGCCATGATGACGATCACGAGCTAGAAGAGCTGATCAGAGGTTCTCAGTCAGGGCAACCGAAAACGCTATCCTGCAACGTCACAGGACAGGGAACGTTTCTGGCAGTGCTAGTGAATATGCTGACAATTGCTAGCAGAGAATTTGAGGAATGCGTGTGGGCTTCGATTCCATCTGCGAAAGTGAACATTGAAGGTCGCCAGGGACAGAGAGACGAGTGTACTTTTCCAGCTCGTTTAGAGGGGATGCTGTAAATCGGCCAGGTGTAACAAACGGCACGATATTACTCCACGTGAATAATCGTACGGTGTTTGCTTGATCACTCGCGGTCTTGTGAAGACGTGGCAAAGGCTAAAACGCTGATTCTTTCCATCTGCTGATTGCTGCCAGGCAGGCGTTCGTTAGTGCCATTACCAGTTTCGTCAGTGTACATGACTTTCGCAAGCTTCCCGCATTTCCTATCTCGAGGCAACCTGTTCGGGAATAGCGAAGCAAAAGTCGTAGGGGTGTCTGCTGTAAATTTCCAGCTAATCTGCCGACATATTCCAAGCATATTAGTGAAAGGCGCTGTAATCTTTACACGTAGGAGACATTTTACAGGAGTCATTTTCACGGACTACGGTGCGCTGCTGTGGATAGGGCGCAACAACGACACCAGTATCCCGACTTCTCGCGCATTTCATTGGTTGCTACTGCGGTCCTAAACACCGTGCCTCACATTCTCGCTCGACCTCCGTTACGATGGCGACAACCATGATCAATGCCGTCTCGTTTCCAGCCGCTCCTCCCGCACAGCTGGCGCGCAGCGGTGGCGTTCGGCTGAGCAGCCACGCTACTTTCAGCCGAACGACATCAAGGTTCCTTTTATCGCGCAAGGCTATTCGATCCAGCCGTAGGACCAATCAGAGCATTTTAGTATCATCAGCGTCCTCTAACGCTGCAGACATCACTGGTCGACCCAGCGACAGCCAGGCAAGCAGCGATTCAACTTCCGCGTCCCCACCGACCCATGAAGACGGACCTTCCCCTGCGCCTGCAGCGGAGTCGCCACCTCCGTCAGCGTCCTCAGCGTCGTCAACTCCGTCAATTCCGTCAGCTCCGTCAGCGTCGTCAACTCCGTCAGCTCCGCCATCGAAGCCGTCGTCGCTGCTTGGTCTGGTCCTGTCCGCGGGGCCGCCGGGGTCGTGGGACAGCAGCGGCGTGGGGAAGGCCGTCGTGCGCCGCTTCGCGAGCGATAACGAGGAGCGCTGGTTCATGTGGTACGAGGGGTGGACCCATGATGACACGTCAGCAGAGACGGGCGGCGATGGTACAAATGGAAATCAGGAAGGGGAGGATTCCACGGTTCCGCCTGTTTCCGTTCCCCCTGTCTCCCGCGCGCGGACCGGGGTGGCGGTTTCCGCCAACGGGCTGCACTGGAGCCGGGGAAGCGGTGTGGCGGAAACTGACGCCAAGGGACGTGGGGGGCCAGGAATGGTCCTTCAGCCCAGCGCCAACTGGTGGAACTTCGACACACGTCACGTCAGCGTGTCTGACGTCATGATGATGTCATCGCAGAAAGTCCGCGCCAGCGGCGTCGTCCTGTGGATGTTCTACGTCGGGGGAAACGCGGAGGAACTCCCCATCCCCGCGCGGATCCTCCCCCTGCTCCCCCCGCGCCTCGCCCCCGCTACAGTCACACCACCCACCGGAGCACCGCCCGCTGCGCGTGACTTTACCGAGGGGGAGATCGTCGAGGGGCTTCGGACGCGCATCGGCCTCGCGATGAGTCACGACGGGCGGAACTGGGCGCGCATCGAGGGGGATCACCACAGCGGCGCGGCGCTGGACGTGGGCGCGGAGGGCGAGTGGGACGAGTTATTCCATGGCGCGCCGCAGATCGTGTTTCACGAAGCCGGGGATATCCGGCTCTTCTATCACTCCCTCGATCGATCCGCCAAGGGGGATAAGACGAGCGACAAGGGGGACAAGGCGAGCGAAGGGAAGTTCCGGGTGGGGTTTGCCCGCTCGCGCGACGGGCTGAAGTGGGTTAAATTCGGGCCGGTGTTTTCTGGGAGCAATGGGGAATTCGCGTTTGACGCGCTCGGGGTGACGTCACGGTATGTGCTGCGCGACCCGCGGGCGTCAGCAGGGGGAAGCGGAGGGGGAGGCGCAGCGGGGAAAGGCGGGAAGGAGGATGCGCGCAAGTTCGTGATGCTGTATGAAGGCGTCGCCGCGGACGGATCGACGGCCATAGGACTCGCAGAGTCGGAGGATGGGATGAGCGGATGGAAATGCCTGGGACCTATTTTTGAGCCAGCCAGGGGAGCCCGGGGGAAGGCGGAAGGGGAGGGAGATGGGAGCGGAGCCGGGAAGAGCGGGGGGGAATCGGGCCCGTGGGATTCGTGGTCGGTGGGATCGCCGTGTTTGGTGGATCTGGGCGGTGGGCATCTGCGACTGTACTATGTGGGGTCGGATGGGCGGGGGTTTCAAGGCGTTGGGGCGGCTGAGTCGCTGGATGGGAGCTTTGAGTTCGAGCGGTGTGCCAATCTCGAGGCTCTTTTGTAGGGTCACAGTGGCTTTGGCGGGTGGTGCAAGGAAAAGGCTCTCTTGCTTTTTTAGCCAATGAGGTAGCACATACGGTACCTTGCAGTGCGTGGTGAGAAGTTAGTTCATCAGGAGGAGAGCATTTGTTGAACGAACATATTCTACCACCAGATTTTAGCAGTCCTGCAAATGCAGCTAAGCTAAAGGTAGTCGGTGCAATCACAAGGTTCAGTAGAGGTGAAACAGTTTGGGGGTAGTGCCAGCATTCGTCTATGCAGGATACCTACTGCTGGCTCTAGCTTGGCGTTTCTGTGTCTGTTCTGTGGATCAGAGACTCAGAGTCCATGCCAAGGCATGCAGTAGCAGCAAATGGAAGATATGTATATTTTTAAAAGCTGTAACGCTTTTCAAAATTATGTATTTTGAAAGCGAAGCTGCTTGTAATGTAGGATTTGGCAGCGTCGAGCCGCGCTAAACGCCCGTTTTGGAGTACAAAACGTGGGCTGGAGGTCATTTCCCTCCACCCACGTCTCTCATTTTCAAACGGTTTAGCCGATTTTCATTCTCAACTCTCGTCTCCCACTCTCAAGCTGGTGAAGTTGAAGTCACTTAACGACGGCGAGGGTAATACCGCTACCGCCTCTGTTCGACCCGAGTTCGGAAGAAACGCACGCGAAATTGCCGGCGATCGTCCTAACAAGCGTCGGGCAGACGACGGGGAAATTTCCCCGACTGGCGTCGACGTACTGCTGGGCGCGACCGAGGCTCACGCCCCTGGAGTCGAGGCACACGCCCCTGGAGTCGAGGCACACGCCCCTGGTGTGCCTCGAGCCCCTGTGGCCCCTCAGGCGCTGGCCGCGACAGAAGGCGCCAAGTCGGCGCCAACCAGCGCGGCTGGCACCCCGCGTCCGCGTCAGCGCCGCAGGCCCGTGGGCCCTGACGCGCCTGTGGGCCCTGACGCGCCTGTGGGGCCTGACGCGCAAGTGGCGCCAAGCTTCACTGCAGCCCAACTGCAGCAGCTTTTGTCCCTGTTACAGCAGCAGGCCCCTGCTGTTACGGAAGAAATCGCTACACCGAACACGACTTCCGTTTCTGCTAAAAGCGAAAAGGCGAAAACAGAGTCTGTGAAGCGCGCTCGCACGACAAAAACCGGAAGGGGCGAAGACACACGCGCCGCTGCCGCTCCAGTCATGAACAACCCCATCGACAGCGACAATGAAGACGACGACGATGGTGAGGCACATGCCTTAAATGCCGCTTTTGCACCCGTTGAGCAACTCCCCCCACTCCCGTCTCCCAATCCCACTCTAACCGCCGTCTCGTTCAAGAACGCTGCCGTGCGCGAGCAAGCCGAGGTCCTGGAACACCTGCGGGCATACCTGAAGCATGCAGAGCACAAGGTGCGACACAACGAGCCGGAAAGCGCCCTCGAATACCTTGGCGAAGCTTTCACACTTATCACCAACCGCTTCAAGCTACTCCACGTCGCCGACTACACCAACTTCCGCACGGCAAATCGCTTCAAGCTCTACGAAGATAAGAGCGTCTTCACCTCACGCCCGTTCAAGCAAGCCGTCGCGGACGTGGCGGCGATGGAGCGCGCACAAGGCAATTTCAACCGTACCCTACGTGGCGGAGGGCGCGGGCCCATGGCATTTGGCAACAAGCGCGGCCCCCCATTTGACGGCAATGGAAGGAGCTTTCGTGGCTCATGCTTCCGTTGTGGGCAGCCAGGCCACATGGCCAATGCTTGCCCGGAAAATGGGGGAGGAGCCCAAGGGCCGGCACCGGTGGTGTGAACGCCCTAGGGGGCGGTGCCGAGAGGCTTGAATGGAGATGATGGCACTAGGGAGTGCAAAGGCCGCTGGCCTATCCCATAGGGGATGTTAGAAAGGCCGCGGGCCTACCCCAAGACAAGGGGTGTAGGACTAGGAGTCCTAGGTGAACATGTGATTGCAAGTAATGCTTGTATGCTCTTTTGAATGAATGGGAAGGCCTAATGGGCAAAGTTGTTGGACTCGCTTGAAAAAAAAAAAAAAAAAAAAGGAGCATGCGCTCTTGAGGTGTGGAAGAACCTGAAGCGGGGAACACCTATACGGCATGGAAGCCTACTGTACATGCGAACAAGAGAGAAAGAGATAGAGAGCAAAAAAAAAAAAAAAAAAAAAAGGGAAGTGGCAAGATGTGCGGGCTATGCAAGCCCTGAAATGCAAAGGAATCACGGGTGAAGGGGGGAAAAAAAAAAAAAAAAAAAAAAGGAAAAAAGGAAAGAGTGGGTGTGGGACTTGGGGTCCCATGATGCCAAGAGCACACGCCATAATGCAAGACAAAGGGTGGCCTACCAAACATGGAAGGCAGCAAATGGCCATCCGAAGAGCATGCGGCACGTGAAAAAAAAAAAAAAAAAAAAAAAAAAAGGCAAGGGCCAAAGCGGCCGAACGAAGGGGCTGCTCCG